ATGAAATCAGTCTTTTTCAGTGCAGAAGGAGATAGCTTCATCTTTCTTTATGTATGCATGTAGAAGAATTTGAAATATCTTGCTAATGAGGAAATATTATTTAATATAATTTGTATTTGAATTAATGAACAGTCCTATATATATGTGTGTGTGTGTATGTGTATATACACATATATAAACTCTCTCTCTCTCTCTCTATATATATATATATATACATACATATATATATTGCTTAATGTATTCTTGTATATCTTCAGGAATCATACTTGGTGCAATATTTTGCTAAACTTCAATGGATATGTACCTCCCAAAGTGCCATTTTGTTTTATTAACTTAAAACATTTACATCTCTCCAAAGCTGTCATGATTATTTTGCTACCCTCTGCTATGGTTGTATATAATCCTGTCTGGCTTTTAACAATTAAACTCACTTGTGATTTTGTACCAAGTAAATTTTTCCATTGGAATTATGTAATTGATTGGTGTGTTTTAGAAGTTCAAAGTTAGCAAAGAATAGTGTGTACATCTTTAATCCCAGTATTTAGGAGGGAGAGACAGCTGAATCTCTATGAGTGCAAGGCCAGCTTGGTCTGTATAGGGAGTTTCATATCAGTCAGGTCCTCATAGTGATTCCCTGCATTCAAAAAACAAACATGCAAACAAAAAAATAAATAAATAGGAGGTCTAATATAATAGTCCTATGTAAAATATAATGTGCTTTGAAGATTGTGATATCAATGCACAAAACATGACTCAGTGGGTAAAAGTTCTTGCTTCCAAATCCAACCATATGAGTTTGATCCCTGGAGCCCATGTGAAAAAAAGAGTGATCCAACTTTTGCAAGGTGTTGTCAGACTCCACACATGTACTCTGATGCACAGCTAAATAAACATAAAAATGTTTTAATAAAATATATTATTAATGAGAACATCTACTGGAGATTGTCCTCATCTTTAAAATACCATCACGTTTTTGTATCTGGTAAATGAGTTTTGAGATGCAGCCTGTTTTTCAGGGTAAAAATGTGTTAACCTTATGATATGTATTTGTGATTTTTAAAAAGTTTATTGGATTGGCAGCACAATGCTCAGCATGCAGTAAATATTCCAGGTTGGGACCGGAACCTTTCGCCTATGTTTTATTACATAGTATCTTGCCCATTGGGCAGGCTTCATTTTCCAGACTTGGAGTTGGAACAGAAGTCTGCTATTTCCAGGTGATACATCTCACCAATTGATAGCGAGTCTCGGGTCTTGAAACAACTGCACCACATTCTTGATTTCAACCATAGTGTTTTTGCTGCAATGTGTGTTTTGTAAGAACAATTCCTATCTCTGTGTTGGTAAGTGTGGGTTGGTATTGGCCAGTGTGGAAGTGACATTAGCTCACTGGAAAGCTTTCCAGGGAAAACAGGGAATTACAACCTTAAAAGGAAAGGGAAGAATGCTTTTCTAGAGGCAAGCAGACTCCTCTGTGCTTCCAGGAAAGCTAAAAATGTGCACCTGATCCCCTGTCACACTTAGCCCCTGGCAGGCTCATTTCCTGCTGTGCCGACTTCCTGGTAGCTTTTCTACAGGAAGCTCTGTTTTCATCACCCTTTCTCTAGTGAGGTTTTCAGCATTCCCATTGTTTCTCCTTTCTGCATTTTAAATATCTATGGGAGCTATAATTTGAATTAAAGTGCTTTTGTATGGTCACTATTTGAGAAATTTCCCATAGGAACACTCCCCCTTTAAATATATGTTTTAAAAACCTCAAAAAATATTTGGTTAAAACTTGTACTAAACAAAAATTGTTCTTCATATACTTAAATGGGTGAGCAGTCACACTGGCTAGGTCATTCACTCCAAAAGCAAAGGACTGCAGACACAAATTATGGACGACATGTTAGTGGATGTTGGGAGTCATGTAGCCTAGTTTCATATCAGCATATGAGTGCTTGTCCAACAGGTCTCCCTGAGGCAAAGCTCGTTGGAGACAGTCTCTCTCTCCACTTGGCCAGGACCAGTGAGTGGACTTCAGGAGGAGGGCACAGAGGGTGCTGGGACTGCATGGTCTGTACTCACTCTTCTCTCTTGTAATACTGATGATTCTATTGAACTTCATAGTGTCATTTTTGCCAGTCATGCATAGGACAGATGTGACCATTCCTGGAAAACCCATTTTGTTTCTCAGATATTTTCCCCTAAAATACTTTGGGAGCTAATGCTTCTTATGTTTCTTATCTGGAAATAGCAGCTGTTACTCCAAACGCTGGGGACTGTTGGGATTCCGTGGTGACAGGATCAGAGGCAACCAAGTCAACGTGCAGTTGAAGGAGTGCAAACTAAACTGTATCCAGGCAGCTTACTGTGGATCACCCTATTTCCATAAATATGCTTGGTTAACTTTCGAATTATACTGTGGCTCTTGAAAATGTGTGCCGATGTTTCTCGCTGTTTAACTTTGTGAGGACAGGATGAACCTGGCTCGATATTTAGCTAAGCTAGTAGAATGCTGAATATTGTTTTGGATTTAAAAGTTGTTTTGATGAGAAGTTGGGCAAAAACAAATTTGACATATTTGTTTTTACCAGAAGTTAATGCTGCAGGGTGGGAAAAACATGCTTGTTTTTGAAGTGTAAAGATGACTCAACTTATTTGGGGCCAGCCACTTGTTTGAAACTGGTCTGGTGGTCAGACGCTACTTCGTTTCTTTGTGCCTATGCCCTTCCTGGTCTCAGGAATTGAACCTGGGCTGTGGCAGGGCCACAGCAAGCCAGCAGCATTTTGTGGCGTTTATGTGGTACTGGTACTTCTGCATATTTAAAAGTCTAATCAAATTTTGAAGCATCATATAGAAGTGGTCTTTAAGGCGAGGTAACTTACTACCAATGTGTACAGTCTCTGCCATCATTACTAAGGAGAGGAGTTGTCACACCTGTTGTCAAACCCTAACTTTAAGTTCTGTCCATGACTATAATTGTTGCAGTTGTCTAGAGTTTGGTAAGTTAGCTTGCTTTTTGTTTGCAGGCCTGTCACCAGCAATTCTGGTTCACTTAAATATTGCAAATCCAGAGGAAGGTCTCAGGATCGCATCTTCTCATCCCAGACTGTCAGCTGGTTAGCTCATTAGAAAGCCTGTCTGCTTTTAATTTCCTTGAAATATATTTACTTTTCTTGCTATTTTTCTTTTAGTTTCTTTGTGGAATGGAATTTTAAAATTATTTCCTTGGCATATAATTGTATTTATGCCATTTTATAAAGAAAAGCTATATGTCTATATTTTCAATTAGCCATGTTTAATAAAAAGTTCTCAAACATTGTTTTTGGATAACTATTGAACTAATATCTATTAAAAATGATTGTATCAGTGTCTTTAAAATGAACATTATAGGAGGTGGGGCATAACTCAATAATTCTATGTATGATTACCATGTGTGAGGCCCTAGACTTACTATCCAGCAATGAAAGAAATAATACAGAGTTTCATGTAAATAGTTTTCTCTAGAAAACAAAATGCAATGTTGGGTGGAAAATTCATTCCTGTATGCTACAGAGGAATATAAGAAGATACATGTCTGTCATGAAATATATTTCCTTGTGGGAGAGCAGGGCAGAAGGGCAGTTTCCATAGAGAGGCATGGTGGTAGGATACACGTTAAAGTTTTTCTGGTTAGTAGCCATATGTCATAGGGAAATTTCTAATTCTGTAGAAAAACTTATCTTGAATTAGGTCCTTTAAAAGAAGACACACATTTTTCAGTATTCTTTGCATCATGGTCCTCATGATGCAAAGGTCCTCAACCTTCCTAATGTTGCAACCCTTTAATACAGTTTTTCATGTTGTGATGGCCACCAACCATAAAACTATTTTACTACTACTACATAGCTGTAATTTTGCTACTGTTATGAATCATAATGTGAATGTCTGTCTTTTCCAATGGTCTTAGGTGACCCCTATGAAAAGGTTATTTGACTCAAAGGAAGTTGTGAACCACAGGTTGATAACTACTGATTTAGGCTGTTTCCTATAAGAGTATTGTGTTATGCTTCCTCTTAATAAATTATCTTAGGCCAGGCAGTAATAGTGCTCCCAATTAATCCCAATACTCAGAAGCAAAAGGCAGGCAGATTTCTGTGATTTCAAGGCAAGCCTGGTCTACAGAATGTGTTCTAGAATACTCAGGGCTACACAGAGAATCCATGTCTCAAAAAAAAAAAAAAAAAGCAAAAAGTAAATGCAAAATTACGTTGAAAATGACTGTAATAATTTGTAGAATTAAGGAAGATTCACTCTGTGATCCTTTGCATTTCAAGTAAATTGTTTTTATTTTTTCTTATTTTCTTCCAACATAATATTTTATTGATTATTTGTGAATTTCATACAATGCACTACAATCACACTTACTGTCAATTCCTCCCAGGTTCACCCTCTCACCTTCGTGCTTTCCTCCCCAAAAGAATAAAAAATATACCAAGTCCAATATGTGCTGCCCATATACTCATTGAAGCATGGACAAACTCCTATTGACCAGCCACATGAAGAAAACTGAGTCCATCCCTAGTAAAATGCCATATTTTTCTGAATACTGACATTGTTAAATGCAATGTTCCCTAAAAATTGCTTGGGGTTTATTATAGACATAGATGATTATTTATTAGAGATGTCATATAGTCTAAAATACTGTCCAAAGTTTCTTCCCTTAATTTTATTAGCTTTTTATAGGCTTAGAAATAATGAACCTTGTTATAGATCATTAGTTAAACTTAATTAGTGGGATCATGTTTTTATAAACTGGTATGATTTGCAAAATAATGGTAGCATTTTATATTTTCAATGTATTCTTATTGAGCATTAATTTCATATTCATAAAGGAGGAGTCATTAGGTACTTATTGCCTAAAAGGCACTGGAAATTATTAACCTGAATTAACAAAGTTAATATACTATTGCAGTTGTCTTTTGTTTTCCTCCAAAAGGAAGGCTAAAGAGAACAATGCTCTGCTTGTGTCCCACAGGTATATTTTCTTGACTTGACCTTAGTGCCACTCACTCAGGAGATGGAAAACCTGATGTGGATAAGGGAATTGGCAAAGGAAGTGAAAAAGAGGAATGTTTTATTAAGTGGACTCCTCATAAACTACTCACAGGTATGAAAGGTATTCATATATTTGTGTTCATATTTATGTGATTTTGATAAAACAAATGGATGCTGATGGTACAGAAAATGATGATAGAGGCTAGGGAGAAGGTTCAGTTGGTAAAGCTTTTGCATGAAAGTGTGAGAAGCTGAGTTTGAGTCCCAAGAACCTGTGTATAAATCTTGTGCTATAGGATGGATGGGTCTGTAACCATAATACTCTTAACAAGAATTGGGAGGTGGAGACAGGAGATGGTATTATCTCCAACATTTTATGCCAGCTAACCTGGCACATACAGTGACAAACACCAACATCTCATGATCTCATGCAAGGTAAAAAGAAAGGACTGACACACTGTCCTCTGTGTCCTCTGTCGCGACCGCCTCGACCAGCAAGGAAGACGCAACGCTGAGACTCTTCCTTAAGCAGTTTACTCAGGAACCTTGAACAATCTTCTGATCCGGGGGAAAGCCCGCACACAGCTTAAAAGCACTCTTGCCAGCCAACCCCAGAACGCCATGTGGCTAAGGCGGATAGGCTCGCATTTGCTGATGCAAGTTTGAATCTTAGACCAAGCCAAATAAGGAGTTGTTTATTCCAGAGAGTGCTCACCCTCGGGATGGTGGAAGGTGGAAGCCGGCGCCATCTTTAAGGAGCGGTGAATCGCAGCTCTCCACAGTCCTCCACATATATTGTATACTCAGGATAACATGCATACACTGCCAAACACATACACACACCCACACCCACACACACACACCCACACCCACACCCACACCCACACACACACACACACACACACACACACACACACAGAGAGAGAGAGAGAGAGAGAGAGAGAGAGAGAGAGAGAGAGAGAGAGAGAGAGAATCTAAGCACTGTAGTTTAACCAGTTATAGATCTCTGTAATAATGCACATCAGTTACAAAATCAAACTTCTTTAATGAGGTGTAAAAGCTATACTCATCTCCAGGTAAAACAAAGGATAACTACTTGGAATATAGTTTAGAGATTACATTTGTGTAGGAGAATGGCAGTAGTAAGTTGTCTCTAGGATCCATGACTGCTCTAGCCACAGATAGTTGGCTAGCTTTATGAGAATGGCAATAGTAGTTGTCTCTAGGGTCCATGACTGGTAGCTGACTAGATTTACAGTGTCACACATAAATTTCCTACTATTGAGCAGGAAAACTCCTGGAAGAGGGAAGGAAGATTCTATGAGCCAGAACACCAAGGTATCTACTGCTCGATAGTGTCTTCTAGACATGGCAGGAAAGTTGTGTCCATGAAATTTCAATGCTGTGCTTGCCTAAACAAGACCTATATGATAATAACAGTAGTTGATGTAGCATCAGGGATGGTGGAATTGCACAAGGTCCCACCCTTGGATGAAGAGAGACATTGGCAGCTGAGAGATGAAAAGTCAGTTTTCTCCAAGGAAGAAGAACTCTCTGATAGCTTATCCAATCATAAACAGTCAGTCCTAAACATATATACATATGAACAACACTGATGGACTCAGTAGGTTGTGTTCTTGGTAGATGTATGCATATATGTATGTACTTGTTACATATATGTGTGTATATATATGCATATGTGCCAATAATTAAAGAAGCAGTCATGAATCTGAGAGGGAGTAGGGGGAATATGAGAACCTGAAGAAGAGGAAGGGAGGGGTAAATTATGTAAATACACTGCACATATATGAAACGCTCAAAAAATTAATAAATCAAAAGACAGAAAAGAAATATGCAAGCTGGCAAATAACAGCTATTAGGTAGCTTACATAGAATTGCCAAATCTAGTTTGTAATTATGTTCTAAATTGAAATTTAAATTTCAATTTAACTAATGTTTAACTAATGTCCTCTATTTTATGGGAAATCCCACAGCATTCTAGCCCATGCCTTACAACAAATATGAAATGGCTTAACTGTATGCCATTTTCATAACATTGGTGATGAGGTGTTTTCTTCCTTGTATGTTATTTAAGTACTTAGAACAAGTGCCTGGCATTTAGATTGTGGTGGGTCACAGCACTCAGCTAGACAGACATTTGTGACGATGCTGGTAACAACAAGTTAGTTAATGGAAGGCAAGGTTCTCTGCTTCTCACCACCTCTGTGCAAATGAATGGGATTTCTAACAGAATTGCATAGAGAAGTTGGAATTACATTCTGTGCATACATAGACCTGTGTAGACATATACAGGCTTAGATCACAGGTCATCAGTCCAGTGACTGCTTTATATTATGTGACTTCTTATAGAGATGGTTTAGGAAATCAGTTACTTTTGGAGTGGTTTCGAATAAATGTGATTCATTACTGGCTTTCCAGGTAATCACAGACATTTAAAATTACACATGGGTGGAAGATATAGAGATGGCTCAGTGTTTAAAGGAGCTTACTGTTCTTTCACAGGACCTGAGTTTGGTTTCCAATATCCAAGTTGGGCAGGGTATAACTACCTGTAATGCCAGGTCCAAGTGATCTGAAACCCTTTTCTGGACTATACACATACCTGTATACATGTGTCATGTACAACACACACACACACACACACACACACACACACACACACGTGCATGTGTGTAAAAATACAAATGTTTAAATTTTGTGTGTCGGCAAAACAGCAAAATGATGTATAGCTACAATTTGTGAAATTACCTTAGGTATGTACTTAGCCTGCAGGTATATTTTAAATAGATAAACTTTATTTAAATATAATGGTCATTAATACAGGCATGGTGGGACATTTGCAACACTACATGGAAGTCTGAGATAGGAAGATGATGAGCTAAGATTGATATCAGCTTGCCTGTGCAAGTCAGTGAGTCCTGAAAATGTAACGACAGTATTTCATAGGCAGTATTTCAGTGTTGTTTAACTTGATGTAGCTGTACGTATTGCTTCTAAAATATGTAAACACGGCTGGCCTTTGTTTAGTCACTAAAAGGGTGACACATTTTTGTGTACATAGGATTCTGGAAATGTAAGATGTTGGAACTGTAAAGGCTGTGAAAGCAAGCCAGACAAGGCCTACAGAGATACTATTCTCGCTCAAAGGCAGATAGGTGGTAGAGAAAACTTAAGTCTGTGTCCTTGGTTGGGAATATTCCCTACTCAATTCACTATAACTTTGGTAATAGTATATGAATATGGTAGGACTTATAAATAAACAAATACATTATTTTTCCATACTTGCAAGGGAATCATGGATGAATAATGCTAACACCACATTGTGCAGATGTCAAATAGATTTTATTTAGGTAGAGCTCAAAATGGGAGAAAGAAATAGCATGTCCAATCCCTGGAACCTTCAGGATCCATGGCTTGCAGCAGGTGAAAGGTATCTGTATGCACAACAGCCAGTTTCCAGTGAAGAGCAGAGTTTCCAAGTAGAACATTGGATGCCCTGTTAGTTAAATCCTAAATCATAAACAATTTTTGGTATTAAGTGTCTTCCAAATGTCACATGGAACATGCATGCATTATAAATTGCTTATATGCAGTTTAAATTTATCTTGTTATTTTTGTCTTCTGAATAATCCAGAAGCCTTGATACACTATTCCAATACCCTGCATGCTTACAGGGTGAGGTAAAAGTTGGTTATCTATGTGTCTGTGCACCTGAGAGGATTCCCTGGATGGAGAATGTGTTTGCTTGAAATCAGAAGAAGCTCCTGGAGTACATTGCTTGCTCTCAGATAGATCTGTGTGACTCTGAGCTGAGACCTGCAAAGCCAGGTTTATAAAAGCTTCACAAGTTCTTTCAAGGTACCTCTATCAGTAACAGATTATTACTCTTATCCAGTATGGTGTGCACACTGGTAAGCCCATCCCTTGGGGGTCCAGAGTGTGAGGATCAAGAATTTGAGATACTCTGAATAAACAAGGTCTGATTCTTTATTATTTTTAATCCAACTTTGCTATGGAAGTCACTGAATTGTAAAATATAATATTCTATTGGAGGAGTTCATTCTAACTATCTAAAAGTCTGTGTCTGACATAATTAATTTATTAAAATATAATATCTAAGGCATGAAAGTTTTAAGCCAATAGCTGTTTTATTGATATCTAAAATATTTTATTTGTTTTTAATGTAAATATCTATAAGTATACATTCTCTATAATTTTATATATGAACTATAATAAAATTTTAATGTCTATAAACATTATAAAGTCCTGTTGTTCTCCACTCTGTATGTGTATTTTACAACCTCAGGCATTCAAGGTAGAACAAACATATGGTTTCAAAGTTAAAGAGTTTATGAACATATGACTGACTATTGTGATGAATCAATGTCTGCTTCTGTACTAAAGAAATAGCTGTATAGTGTTTTGCAATTTATGTCAAGATTTCAAGCCAAGATGCTACATTTGTAAAATTTAGAGCTTAGAAACATTGAATGAATCTAGCCATGGTAGAATCTGCCAATAATCCCAGCATTTATGAGACAAGACAGGAAGATTATGAGTTTGAGACTAGCCTGATTTATATAGTGCAGCCCTGTCTCAACCAAGCAAATAAACCACCAAGTAGAACCTAATGTATGTGGAGATGATGGAGAATTGGGCAATGTGCCGACTCTGCCAAGTGACACTCTGCAGGTCTCACTCTGATGCAAGTTAAATCTGAAACCTGAATCTAGTTGTTGGTTTTTCCCTTTTCCTTGTATGACCACCGTACTATTTTTATTTATTTCACTAATAAATTTTGTCTTAGAGTTAGTACACTTTGGTATAGTTAGAGAGGGAATGCTTCCTTTCTTTTACACATCATAATAAAATTAAAATGGAAGACAAACAGAGGAGAGCTAGATACAGCAGGAAGTGGGTAAGCAACATCTCAGCATAGCGAGTTGCTTGGAATTTAGTCTATATGCATTTTGAGTTTTTATTTCTTCCTGCTGAGTAGTCTTCTACTGCTATTGATGAGGGGCAGTAGGAGTCTAGAAAGGAACTCTTGAGTTTGTGAGGGCTTTCATAGGTGGGCACAGACTGTGCCAG